CTGTGAGGGAATTACTACACCACGTCAGGCCCCTCATAACGCCATCCGTGGGGGAGTTACTACACTACGTGTCTGCTGTTCAACACCTTAGCTCACATGATCTACGTGTGTAAACATTAATCCGTATGTTCACTGTATGTTCCTTCACCTTTCTCTAATGAAAGCTTTTGTTAAACCACCAATGTATGTAATAAGTCATTTATGTCCAATGTATATTTTCAACCTTCGGGCTGCAGAACTTTTTCAATAAACTGTTAATTATTATTATTATTATTATTATTATTATTATTACACACACACACACACACACACAATAAAACCTTGAAAACGAAGATTATTGCCTAATTCATGGATACAAGATGGGAGCACACACACACACACACACACACACACACACACACACACGTGAACTCCGTGTTGGCCGCTAGACCTCGAGCTGCGTGGGGCAAATCTGGAATTTGAATCTGAGCACACACCTGTACACACGGAGCTACAGACAAAAAGAGAAAACTAGAATATACCAACACACTACGTACAATGCATAAGTTAATTTATTAATTTCTGTTCACGTGAAAAGGAGAAATCATAAAACACGATGGTGACACGTGGTTCATTCAGCGCCTTGGCATATAACTTGTCCATGACCTTGGTCTTGTTTTGGTGCTGGAACCCCACCTCCACACTCCCCCTCATGCACAACCTCTCCCACACAGTCTCCTATCCTACACACCCACCCCTCTCACACACACCCTCCCCTTCCTCACATCCTCCTCTCTCATACACCACCCCCCTCCCAAACACACAGTCCTCGTCCTGACATCCTCGTCCCCCCCCACTCCCTGCCCTACATAGGGCAAACAATAAAGCACACAAAAAAGCCCAACTAATAGGCCCAGACTTCCCCACGTTCTACAGTTGGAACTCAGCCACTACTCCAGATATAGCAATAACAAACGGCAGATGCTTCCACAACTATCTCTTTGAACAAGGCCCTGTAACCTCCAGCGACCACCTACCTATAATCATGACCATCTCAGCAACACCAATAACTATACCAGCTCCACCACGGAGAATCGCCAAGCAGACCGACTGGGACTTATTCAACGAAAAAGCTACAGCCAAACTTGAGGCCAAGGACATGACAATCCTGCAGACCATAGACAACCAGCCGGTGAACATAATAGACGAAGAAATCAACACATGGTGTGAAGCCATAGGAACAGCCTACCAGGAGGCCACGCCTCTCAAACGCAACAGAACTCTCCCGCACCCACGACAGACTCCAGAACTCATAGCCCTCACAAACCAGTTCCAACTGCTACAACAGAGAGCCGAGACCCATGGTTGGGACATCGTAAGCTACAATACATACAGAAGAGTCCGGGAGGAAATAAAAACAAGATCTCTGGAACAAAGCAACCTTAAATGGGCCGAAATAGTTGAACAATTCTCACATACATACAACGATCCAGGAGAGTTCTGGCGTCGAGTTAAGAGATTGAAAGGTTGCAGCCATAACGAGTCATCATATATAACTGACCACGCAGGAAGTAAAATATATGACGACCAAGACAAAGAACCCATATTCAGGGACATATGGAGGAACATCTTCCGAATCACAAATGAAGAGAATAGGGGATTCGATGGTACCCACGAGGAGCTCGTCCTTGATGAACTCCGGGGCCAGACACACCGCACTCAGCCTTCCCCTGAAATCATATGGGAGGATCTGAGAGCGGACAGCCCATTGTCCAAACCAACTACCTCGGAAGAACTCAACAGAGCCATCTCCAATACCAAAAATAAAGCCCCTGGTTATTCAGGCATCACCAAAGAGATCCTCAGCCACACAGACAACCCGGCCATGGAGAGACTGAGAACCACAATGAACGCTTGCCTGGCCTCGGGCTACTTCCCAACTAAATTCAAAGAGGCCATTATTACCCTAACACCAAAACAAGGAAAGAACCCCGCCGTTCCACTAAACTACAGACCGATCTCCCTCCTCGAAGTACCTGGAAAAATCCTAGAAAAATCATCAATAACCGTCTGAGAAATCACCTGGAAACAACAAACAGAGTCAACTGCAGACAATTCGGGTTCAGGAAAGGGAAGTCCACCACAACAGCGATAGCCCTGGCATGCGAAAACATAGCCAGAGCCGCGGCGAGTGGTAGACAATGTAATCTAACTCTCCGGGATGTCGCTAAGGCATTTGACAAAGTCTGGCACGACGGTCTAAAATATAAGACCCTCCAACTCGGACTTCCCACCAACATTGAAAAGTTGCTTTGCAACTTTCTTGACGGCAGAAATGCCAGACTGAGGGTAGGACAACACACAGGAGAGACCTTCCCACTCATGAGTGGAGTCCCTCAGGGAAGCGTCCTCTCCCCCACCCTATATATTATCTACACAAGTGACACCCCGCCTCCCACTAGAATAGGTAACGAAGATATTATGTATGCAGACGACATCACTCAAATAACAACACATCAAGGAAAATCGCGAGCGTTACAGGCCGAAAACACCAGGCGGGAATTAGAAAGGGTAAATAACTACGAAAAACAATGGAAAATCCAAACCAGTTTCCCGAAATTCACAGTGATACCCTTATGCAGAAGGAAAACCCATCCATTAGTAACCAATAATGCCCAGATAGAATACAAAAGCAGAGGCACCCTCCTGGGCCTACATATATCCACGACAGGTTACTCCCATCATGTCCACAGCAGGAAGGAAAAAGCAAGAAGAGAGCTGAGAAAACTATACCGCTTTAAAGCGCTTCCTGAGAAAATTGAACTCCGCCTGGCGACATCATTTATCACACCGATATTAACTTACCCAGCAATACCTCTTCATACTATGAGCACCACTCAAATATTAAAATTACAGGTGGTCCAAAATGAAGTCCTAAGATTCGTCACAGGTGAAAGATAACCCTTCACCAGAACCACAGCCGAGATACATAGAGACCTGAGAATGAAACCCATCAACCAGCAGCTGCACACCCTGGCCAGCAGAATCTGGCAAAAGATAGAACGATCAGAGCAAGAACTCCTTCAAAGACTCCCACCAGATAACGACAACAACCATACATGGCTCCCAAAATGCTACGAAATCTCAAAAGGTCCATTACCACCCCTGATCTACACGGCCAGGCAATAGACAACCTCCCTAGACCAGCATCCGCCAGTAGGGTCGGTGGAATATGAAATAAGGCCCTTAAAACACCCATAAATGGGACAGGGTAGGCTGTCTAGTGCCTGTACCGGCAGACAATAACTAACCCATGACACAACCCTAACACACTATTAGCTTAGCTAGGCGGTCAGCCCGCCCTCTCTTACCTCCTCCTGAATTTCTTCAATTTCCGAACTATAACTTCCTTCCCCCACCTCTAATCTTCCTTCATTCCTCCTCTCTCTAAAAAAAAAAAAAAAAAAAAGCACACATGTTTTCCAGGTTATTGGTTGCTGTGTTTGTTATAGTATTATTACTGCGCTTCAACAACTAATGTCTTTAATTAAGCGCGTAACAAGGTTGGTAATTACACTATTACATAAACTTTTAAATATTACGAGTGTTACGAGTTGGGGATTTAGAATATAGTTATACGTCTACCCAGATCCCAACAGGTAACAACAATAAAAAAAAACAAAGACAATCGGACTATAAAAGGGTAGACAAAGGATGCGAGTTTTCGTTGTATATAATAGAGTACCATAAATCCCTTAACAAAATATTCAGCTTATAAATTACCCTTAACCAAACTTAACCTAAACATTAACAGTATATACATATTAATACAACATAAACAATTTTGAAGCAAGTGGACGTGGGGGAGTTAATACAAAATACTAGTACTTAAGTGAGGAGCTGAGATGGCTGACGAGTAAGGCTGAGTATTGTAGAAGACGGTAGGTAGTCACTGCACGTAGGTTTAGAGGACAGATGATCCTGTGGTCACTTCCCAGAGCCAAGTGCTCTCTCCTCGAATTGGAGCTGACAAAGAAGACTGAGGAGGTGACGCAACAACCAGGATAGGGAGAAGGGAAACCTCGGAGTGGTAACTAAGACGAGTCATACTCGTGTCTCGTCCCTAGATGGCGTTGCTCGTGGTGCTGGGTAGGTAGATCAGGACAATAGATGGCGTGGTTCGTAGTGCGGGGTGGAGGGGTTCGTAACACGAGAGATAAAACTCTTTGTGTAAGGAATCAGTTTCTAGAAAGAAACACAATTATTCTGAGCAGTGTGTTTGAGAAGGAACTGTGTTATACAGTAGTTGTTAACTGAACTACAGCACACTCGTAAATTCAATTCTCACATCAAGATAATTGGGGTTACTGGTGGTAGAGTGGTACCGCTCTTGCCTTCGCAAGCGAGATGTCACGGGTTCGATTCCCGGGCCGGTGGAAGTTGTTTGGACATACTTCCTAGCCCCCATTAGTCCCTGTTCACCTAGCAGTAAAGTAGGTACCTGTTGTAAATCGAAAGTTGCGAATTCGTATTCAGGGACAAGTTGTTAGAGCTTCCAATAACTTGATGATATAAACCATTGACTCTTCAGGCTTCTATGCCCTTGACGCTTCAGGTTTCTACGCCCTTAACTCATGAGACATAAAGGCAAGCATGAACTTAGCAAGCTTCCCTGTTGGGCACTGTAAACGCTTCTGCGCTTCACCTTACAAAAGGATGTAGGGGAGTGCCCAATTAAAAAAAAAATAAAGATAATTAATTATTAAAATCTTTAATATTTATTGTCTATTAGCACTGAAATCTACTGCAAGTATACAGTACATGCCAACAACCTGACTAAGCTTTAATTTTTCGGGTTGCATCTTGTGTACCCGAATCATAAGTCATAAATATATTTCTGGAAATGAAAGTACACGAACAGGAGAAAGCGGTTAAATATAAAGCATCGATAGCATGTTAGAAAAGGATATCAATGTTACATTTTGGTGACACGTCTTAGTAAACACAAGGTGGCAACTAACCTGGCCGCCGCCACCAATGACTGGCCGGGGTGTGTTGGTGGCTGTGTAGTCATGCCTGTTTATTCTAAGCGTTGACTGCTCTCCTCACTCCTTTAGTTGTGTTTTAAAATACCTGCTAAGTTGCACTGCATGTCATAGCTGTGTTAACCTCACAACACATGTAAGGAGCTCACCCTTACTTAACAGTGTTCCTGTTGCCAGAGTACTGCGTACGAGACCCAACTAACAGCTCTTACTAGTCTTGACTGGCAACATTTAGCTTGACGCTTTCTCCTCTCGTCCTCCTCCGTGGTCTGGCCGTCTGACCGCTTGGCTAGTCTCACGCCAGCTTTACACGCTGCCCGGACTAGATTAGACACCTTTTGTTTTTCACAGTTGCCAGGTCTCTCATAATAAGTTTTAGATACACGTAAGATTTTCGGGAGGGGGGGGGGGCGGGTGAGTGGCAGGATTGTGGTGGTGACGCGCTTGTGTGTGCCAACGTGTGTGTGTGTATCTGAAAAATGGGAGATGAAATTCACTGTGGATAAATGTAAAGTACTTAGTTTAAGAGATGTAAACAGAGAAACCATATACCAGATGAACAATGATGTTATAGAGAAATCCGAATGTGAGAAAGATTTAGGAGTAATGATAAGAAAGGAATCTTAAGCCAAGTAAACAATGTGTATTTTTGCTCGAAACAAGGCTAATAAAGTACTTGGGTTCATACAAAGGGGTGTTAGTTACAAGACAAGCGAGGTCATCCTAAACCTACAGTAATCTTTCGCTCGTGAGACCCCACTTGGATTACGCAGTTCAATTCTGGTTACCGTATTACAGAATGGATATAGAATCCCTAGAAAGAATTCAAAGGAGAATGACACGACTAATCCCGGGCATTAGGAACCTTGAGTACAGAGACAGGTTAAAGCATCTTAATTTGCACTCCCTTGAGTACAGAGACAGGTTAAAGCATCTTAATTTGCACTCCCTCGAGAGACGTAGAGCGAGGGGCGACATGATAGAGGTGTATAAATGGAAGTCAGGGCTAAACAAAGGGGACATTACCAAGGTACTCAAACTATCCAACTAGGAGCGAACTCGTAACAATGATTTTAAATTAGACAAATTTAGATTTAGGCTCGAAATTGGCAAACACTGGTTTGGAAACAGAGTAGTGGATGAATGGAACAAGTTACCAAATATCATCAATAACTCGAATACACTGGATAGCTTCAAACATAGGTTGGATGCTTATATGCGCAATAGGGGTTGGGTGTAAATGGGACTGCCCAGTATGGGCCAATAGGCCAGCTGCAGTTTCAAGCCATGAGCATCATTCCAGGATGCCCAAAATCAACCAGAATTGTAAACATGAGGAAAGAGCTCGGACTGCCCCCCCCCCCATCAATCTGAGAGGATAGCTCTACTTAATACCATGTTTTGTGTCAAAGTTTTGAAGAACAATGGTCCCCAAACTACAGCTCAAACTGAGTTGATGTTCTATCTAAGTAATCCCGACCATCTCGCTAACCTTCCACAAAAGACTCTTTGGGGCGTGGCTTCATAAAAGTGTTGCAGATCTCTTGAAACTGAATGTCCCAATCACCCCAGACGAACCCATTAATGCCATTCCTCCTTGGATGGATATATCAGTTCCTATTAATTACACTCCTGTTGGTAGTAAGCAAATGTTAAACACGGATGTGATATGTGTCACTAGAAATTATTAACAGACACATAGAGAGTATTAAATCAGTGAATGTTATGCTTTTACTGGTGGTCCTGTGCAGACAAACACAGGTAGAACAGGCTGTGCAATTGTAATATATAAAGAAAAAGAGATGATAGTGTCAAACAAGCAAATGATGAATAACAGGAATCTACTTAGCTACAGACTACCTTAAAGAAAATGGAGGTGGAGTGATATTCTGTGACTCTCAAAGTGCTTTGAAATCAATGAACAGCCCGTCAGGCTCTATGTCTAAAGTTATCTGTGATATTAAAAGAAATGTGATAACTGCCAATGAGAACAACTGTCGTATCGAATTTGTGTGGATTTCGTCCCATGTTGGAATTAGGTATCATGATCGTTGATAGACTGGCCAATGAGGCATGTAAGAAAGAAAATGTTGACCGTGACCTTGGCCTGTCCAATGCTGTACTTAAAAACATTCAAGTCAGAATCATGAACTCTCATCTAGAAGAACTGAGAAATGCAGAGAGACCTGACAGTTGTAGCATTATTAAATATGAAAAATTTTGTGACGAGAGATACCGGTATGGCCAGCATAAGGACAGAACCAGACAATGTGATGTAGACGTGGCCAGAATTAGGCTAGGATACAGACACATCTGGCAAGTTAGTAACGCTGTACCCATACCGGAACACTCAACATGTAAACTTTGTGATAAACCTTTAAAGCATACACTTGAACACTATATTATTGAATGTGACACTGTCAGACTTCAGGCCACCTGGCTTATTGTATCATGAATTTTGAAATTACTATATTGAATCGGGGGTGCTTGGGGACATTCTTGCTGTTTATCCCAAATTTGCTAGCCCACACTGATTAGTCTTCAATTAGAATATGACGTACAATGTATATGAACCACTGTCTTGCATGGCAACGAACATTGACATCACCTGCATGACTCTGACCTATATTGCTTCGCAAGTAATATATGCCCAGACATATATTATTTCACAAGTAATATATGTCTGGGCATATATTACTTCGCAAGTAATATATGCCCAGACATAAGCTGTTGGAATAACTGTGTGTGTCGTCATCTGCTGTGCCCTCTTTGTTAACAAATCTATCAATCACTTGCTTGACAATAACTACTTCCAGTTCCGGAATAATCAGAGATACAACTTAAGGCACCCAGAGCTACTAAGACCACCCCCCATGCGCTCCTCTCAGTCCCAGACCTCCATAAAATATCACGGTGTGAAGGTGTGGAACAACTTACCCCCACACATCCGAGCAAAGACTACGCTCCCATCCTTTAAATCATCTCTAAAAAAATATTTATTGTCGAAGTATTAATACTTCTTGTAACACTTGCAGTACCTGCTTTTATTGTACCATCAAAACTGCTTTATCGGAAATTATCATGTAAATAAATAAGTAATTACCATTGCAATAAACATAACTGCCAACGAGACATAATCCTGAAAGCTGTTCTCTTGTTCAACCTTATTACTGTACAACCCAGGTTGTACTGTTCCACCATTATACTTATGTTTTTAAATTCCACTCTATTTTAAATGTATATGTGTATGTATGTATGTATGTATGTATGTATGTATGTATGTATATATATATATATATATATATATATATATATATATATATATATATATATATATATATATATATATATATATATATATATATATATATATATATATATATATATATATATATATATATATATATATATATATGTATATGTATGTGTATATGTATGTATAAATAAATAAAAATAAATAAAAAATAATTAATAAATAATAAAATAAACAAATATTGAAGTGATAACCGTGGTAACACTATGAGATGTACTTATTACCACCATGCTATTGTACTATTCCAGATGATACTAAATGTTACATAATACTTCCTTGAGATAAATGTATAGTATATATCAGTTGCCTCAAAGAGAGCTCAGGTTCTCAACTGGCTCAGCCATGTAAATATTGTTATTATTATCCATTCTGTATCTGTGTTTTCTGGCTAAATAAACTGTTTCATTTCAATTCAATGCTGAACTTTGTTCACTATAAGATGGTCGGTGGTGATACACATGTGTGATCAAGGCACAAAACGTTTACTGTATTTATATGTAAACATCGCGTCTGTTTGGCTGTCAGGTTAAATCCAACTACCACCTGCTCAGAGTGTTATATCGTGCACCGTGTGATGGTAAAGGTGAGCACTGCAGTACACCGGAAGAGGAACTTTTACGGTATGTCTATAGATGCGTATATAACAGCCATGGTGGCTTGGGTGTCCAGGGGGATGTAGGTATAGATGTCCAACAGTAGGGGTCCAGATATCTGTCAGAATTATTTATAATACCAGTTAAGCAGATTGAGGGGCCCGCCTTATAACTCGTCCATCACTAGTTTCTCTATCACAGTCCAAATTCACAAATATTCATAGGACCACGTTAGTTTTCTCTCCACATTTGGGAGATAAGAAAGCCAAGATAGTAAAGTCTCATTTATTTTCGTCGCCATTTTTATTCACGGGTTTGAGTGAAAATTTTCTGACATTTCCATCTAGGGCGAAAATTTAATACCTTTAATGACACTAAACCCAGAATGTTACGCTCAGTCAGAAAACCCTCACCTCAACAGACACCGTTTTTGTGTTGTTGGTAAATATGACATTTTGAAATTATCTTTATACCAATTTTTCATCGAAATTTATAAAATAAAATATATATATTTGGTTCACTAAATTTTATACATTTACGAAAACCTGTAAACCTGTCCGTAAATACATATAATACAAAATAACGTTACTAATACACATTTTCTCTACGGGGTAAGTTACTAGTGAAGAGCCCCCCCCCCCCCCGAAAAAAATCATAGAACTACTTAAGATTTGAGCAATAATTTACCTGAAACACTTTATAGGTAATCTCGCGACCATTAGAGATATATTTTTCATCTTTTCGTAATTCTGGCAGGTATGAGAGCAACCAGGTAGTGTACGAAACAACTATCAGAATCATGTGTTTTTTTTATAACTTAAATTGACTGCTATTTTAATATTTATAATTTTGTATAAATATTTTGTTGCTGTTGTAAATTTTGTATGTTGTGTTTTTACTACTACTACTACTACTACTACTACTACTAATAATAATAATAATAATAACAATGATAATGATAACGATGGAGATTAAAAACATTAGCTGGCATGTTATTGTTGGTTGTTACGTCGTAATAACATTAATCAGCCAACAGGTGATTATCACAAGCAGGTGTTCCTCTGATTGGTCAACTGTGGATGTTATCAACTGATGGAAAGTTGTCATCTGTAATCGTAGAAGAGAGTCAACATCAGACTGTGATATACAATAATATACAATAATATACTATAATATATTACGATATTATACATAACGATATATAACAATCTGCTGTAATATACATTATTTATCACGAGTAATGTTTTAAGTTCAGTTGCCAAGTCCAGTCGAAGCTTAGTCGAATTTTCGTTACTTTACTCGACCTCCCACTGTTTTCATCACTTACTCGACCTTCCACTGACTACATCACTTACTCGACCTCCCGCTGACTTCATCACTTACTCGACCTCCCACTGACTTCATCACTTACTCGACCTCCCACTGACTTCATCACTTACTCGACCTCCCACTGACTTCATCACTTACTCGACCTCCCACTGTTTTCATCACTTACTCGACCTTCCAATGTCTTCATCACTTACTCGACCACCCACTGTCTTCATCACTTACTCGACCTCCCACTGACTTCATCACTTACTCGACCTTCCACTGTTTTCATCACTTAAGAACATAAGAAAATAAGGAGTTTGCAATAGGCTGGTTGGCCTGTGCATGACAGCTCCTGTCGAGAGTTATTACCACTCTCTATCATCCATGAATCTACCTAGCCTCCGTTTAAAACTTTCCAGCGTCCCAGCACTTACTACAAAGTTGCTAAGCTTGTTCCACTCGTCCACCACCCTATTTGTGAACCAGTTTCTTCCTATCGCCCTCCTAAACCTAAACTTCTCCAACTTAAATCCGTTGCTACGAGTCCTACCCTGCTCGGATATTATAAGAACTTTATCTATATCTCCTTTATTGATTCCTTTCACCCACTTAAAAACTTCTATCATATCTCCCCGCACTCTTCGTCTTTCTAGGGAATGCAAGTTCAGTTTCTTTAACCTATCCTGATATGGAAGGTTTCTAAGTCCCGGAATCATTTTCGTCATTCTTCGCTGCACCGACTCCAGTGAATTGATATCCATTCTATAATAAGGGCGCCAGAACTGAACCGCATAATCGAGGTGCGGCCTGACTAGCGCAAGATATAGTTGCAATAAGACCTCTGCACTCTTATTACTTACACTTCTAGATATAAAACCTAATACTCTTTTTGCCTTATTTCGAACATTAACGCACTGTTTTCTAGGCCGTAGGTCCGGGCTTACAAGTACCCCAAGGTCTCTTTCACAAGTCGACTTCTCTATGTTGATGTTGTTAAGGCTGTATATATTGACAGTATTTGTTCTTCCAATATTAAGTACGCTGCACTTGCTGGTGTTGAATATCATTTGCCATTTTTCTAAACACTCCTACAGTTTATTTAAATCCTCCTTACTCGACCTCCCACTGTCATCACCACCAAAATCATCCTCCATTCCCCGCTATTGTTGCTAACCTAACCTAACCTAGATTATTCACTCGTAGACCTAAATTGGTAAAGCGCATTTAAACATCAGAACATCCATCAACAACAACATACCCTCGTCCTCATTTGTCCTTACAATTTCCCAACAAGCATCTCAGTGTGATTTGTAACACCCAGTCATGCTTCCCAAACGACTAACATTCTCGACCCCTGACGTCACCAGCCCACCAAGTATAACACGATACTCCTCATACTTGAGCCTGTAAGTGTCCTTCTGTCCCTCAAGTTACAGAGCAGCTGGGTTGTTGCCGCCCCGGGAGACTAATAGAGGTTCATTATATAGTTCTCTGCTGTGCCAGATCCGTGTATTCGTTTGTGGTCTCATCCTTGCATCCATCCGTGCTTCCATCGGTTCGTACTCCCGTCTTTGCGTCCATCCGACCCGTTTGTTTGATTATGCAACCTCCCCCCCTCCCCACCCCACTGTCTGTCCTTGCATCCGGGAGTCGTTAATACGTTAACTTGAACAAAAGGTAAAATTTAATAATCGAAAATTTCTGCAATTAACCTTTATAGTTATGTCTCCATGGGGTTTACTGTCACAGAGCTTGACTAAATCACCTTCAGAGGCAGTCCATACTGCCGCAGTCATGATACTGAATATCAGCTGCAGTCCCACTACATGAGTCAATGAAGCCCCATGCAACATCGCGAGAGATTTATCCTTTATACTTATTTAATCGACAGAGCAGGGGGGAGGCGGCCGAATTTGATACATCACTTGCCCTATGTCTTAAGTATCGTTGGTTCTAACGCAGGACACTCCCAGTTCACTCAGCTGTAAATGAGCACCTAACTTTACAAGTTGGGAAGTGAAGGACGTCGAATGCAGTGCCGGCCACAATGCCTCCCTTCCTACCAAAGGGTTAACGTACACACCTGTATGGGGCCGCAACTTACTTTCACTCGACATATCTTGTATCTGACGAACTTTTATTGTGAATATATATACAGACACAAGACAAAATACTCGTGGAAACCGACTTTAAGCTCAACATGTATACAAAAAGTGTTTGTTTTCGTGTGAGCCGAACTGTTGCTATTAAGAATTAAAACTTACCAAGCAAGATCAACGCTGCAATCCAATGCCTCGTCGAGGGACCTTTACAGTTGACCTTATTACCTTTAAATGGTGTTATTAGAGAACACACACACACACACACACACATCACACACACACACACACACACACACACAGATGTCTCCATGACCACGTGAGGTCCTTCATATCAACACCCGAGAACGAGTTACCACACCACCACACCACACCACCCGATGTCTCCATGACCACGTGAGGTCCCTCATATCAACACCCAAGGACGAATTACCACACCGCGTGAACACCTCACCAGCCCACGCCCGGGCCATCAACTGTAAATTATAATAATTGGTATGTTCAATCATTGTTCCTTCTTCTTTTAGTAATGAAAGCTTTTGTTAAACGACCCACCCACCCCATGTCTTTGCATGTAATAAGTCATTTTTGTCTAATGTATATTTTCAGCTTTCGGGCTGCCGACTTTTTCAATAACCCGTTAATTATTATTATTATTATTATTATCACACACGTCTCGTGTCAGGAGTGATTAACATTAATGTTTACCGTAGGAACAGCATTGAATAAAATATAACTATTATCCAGGTTAAGGGGCACAGGTTAGAGATACACTTTATCAACTTAGTAAAATTTATACGACACAACTATTACAGCCTCACACGAGTAAAACATTATCGGTGGAAACGTTCGCTAACTTGTTACACACAAGTGTTGTTTTTACACGTTCTTTCAGTATAGAATTTCGTTTACCGTTTAACAGCTTCCATATTTCCTAGACTATGCTTAAAATACTTTCAATTTTGTCGGGTTACAAGAAGGTAGGTACCATTGTGTAAGCGTCGTGTACCGTTTTGTCGGCGTTGCGTACCGCCATATGGGTGTGATGTACAGGACCTTGAGCATGTGGCATCGAGGTGTGGATTATGGGAACATTGTGTGGAAGTAGGACTTAATGGCCTGGTGGATATGGTTATGAAGTGTGTGTGTGTGTGTGTGTGTGTGTGTGTGTGTGTGTGTGTGTGTGTGTGTGTCTAGTGATACCCTTGATCTTGTAATTCAATATAAATATTTTTAATCTATTTAATTATTATTGTAGCATTTCACTTTCATCAGTGAATTAGTTTTGTCGCGTAACATTATCACATAAAGAATGGTGTAAACTCATGGCATAATAATACAGTATTCAACAAAATGTAAAATTGTTTTCATGACTATAACACAATCTGAATCAAGTTTTTTAGTTTGTGAAATTTTCCCTTTGACTGGGCTTCATATCTCACGAACACACTTGACCGACTAGCCGACACTCAGCTGACGTCTATAGACAAAACCTCTTCTGTAACACTTTGAAGTTTACGAGTGCCATCAGCCTACTTCAACACTGTATTGATTGTTAGTATTTTTAATGTTGGGTGATACGAGTACATAGTGATGTCTCCACACATGAGGTTCATAGCACTTGTGTGTAGAAGAGTGGCGGGAACCTAGAGCTCTACAGTCTCGATCCTGGTGTCTTCTTTCTTCTCTGTTGACTCCTCTGTGAGGACTGGACCTCCGAAGAGCGCGGTGATCTCCTGCAGCGTCTTACCCTTCGTCTCCGGCACCACCAGGATGCAGAAAATGAAGTTGATGACGCAGCACCCAGCGAAGAACCAATATACGCCGTAGGGGCCGATTGCTACCTGTGAGACACCATGAGGTTATCATATCTTTCTTTATTTTTTATTATTTTTTATTTTTGTCACGGGGATTAGCCCACCCGGGCACAGGTCACTGACCCACATCGGGGCCTGGGGGACGAAAATGTAATAATAATAATAACAATCATAATAATAATAATTCAGATAAGTAAAATTTATAATAAAAAATAATAATAATAATGGTAATAATAATAATAATAATAATAATAATAATAATAATAATAATAATAATAATAATAGTAATAATAATAATAATAATACAGAACCATAAAGAAAACAAAATGAAAAAAAAATCAAGAGCGAGAAACAATATATGTATGTTGTGTTGTCAATGGTAAGAGAAACAATTGAGACCCTGCAATTGTGTGTAAATGAGGCAGAAAGTCAGATGAGCAACCTGGGACTTGGTCACAATTTTCGTGATGCCATATGGTAGCAGGGTCTACCATTAGACAACACATTATGCTTCCAATATCTTCCCAGGCGGTAGTACCTCCCTGTTTGGTAGCTGTTACTCTATGTTCCGCAAATTAAATTTTATTTAAACAGATGTGTAGCTCTGCTCAACAGCGTGAGTGTATTAGTTAGAAAGTTGGAAGATTACCCCCAATCGGCTTATTTAACCGGATGATTAAGCGCCCTTTAATCGCTCATAGGAGCGATTTTGGTTTGTGCAGGAAAATAAGACCCTTGTCGTTGACGCGATGAGTATAATTCGGTCAAAACCTGTTGAATACAATTCACATATTTAACAACTGCTGGTACATCAGGACACAGTTTGAATAATACGATCAATATACAGTACATAATTACACTTATTAAAGTTATTTAGAGTTTTCAAAGAATTCAACAGTTCACAATCACACTCACGTTTTGGGGTCTATGGTTAGACCAACGAGAACAAATCCAATGTCCTGTTGGTGATTTTGGCTGACGAGAATCCAGATGTTGCCTTTACAGTCGAGGGCGATAGACTGTCCCTCAGACAGTCACGCAGCTGCGACCAGCTCCATCTCGCTTCGTAAGCTATTCTGAGTTGTAAACAGTTTCTTCACTTAACATGTGGCCGGCGCGCACATTTAACACCTCAACAAAGTTCGTTGTCAACAGTGTCTCTCTCCTCTCTCCCTTTCTCTCTCTTTATCCCTCTCTTTCTCTCCCTCTTCTAGTTTATCTTACTGTAGCGGATTTCAGGTTAGGTGAGGTTAGATTGCGTTAAGTTAGGTTAGGGTAGCAGTAGGTTAAGTAAGCTTAGTTTAACGTGAGTGGTTAATTTTAAGACAAAATAAGTTGGGTGCCAATCTTCAGGTGATCCTACTTGCCAAGGACACAAGAGTCAAGGGGGGGGGGCGTACCTGTAGCGGCTGGAAGACGAGGGTGACGAGGAAGGAGGTGGACCAGTTCACCATGGTGGCCAATCCGCTAGCAGACTCACGCACGTTCAGCGAGAACAACTCACCTATATGTGAAATGAAGAGTTAGTAAAGCAAAAGAATGGAGAGAGAGAGAGAGAGAGAGAGAGAGAGAGAGCGAGAGAGAGACTAGACCTGTAAATGAATGGGGAGAGAGAGAGAGAGAGATAGACTTGACTTGTAGCTTTGCCATGAAGTCCCTTATTTATTCTGATACACTGGTGAGCATCTAACCTCTCAACCTATTGTCAGTCTGGGGCCAGATACTCAGAAATCGTTATGATGAAATATCCTCATAACTTAATAATAATAAAAAAAAAATCCCCTAACTGGGTGACATCCCAAAATGACATCAAAATTACACTAAGACTGTACTGTATGTATTAATAAAGTACACCTAACACCAGGTAGTTGACACGTATGAAGAGTTTGTGATTCACAGCTCTGATATCGATGGTGTTGATGTTCATTAAGACAGCTAGGATGGGATCACATGAAGATTAGACACCCTAGTATATTTCACCTGATGATTAAACACCCTAACGCTACCTAGGGGATTTAATTATCAGGTGAAATATACTGGAGTGCCTAATTTTCATGTGATAAGATACGACACTGTTAGGACTTCACCATCACTCCACCCGCCAAAAGCACAACTAACAAAATACATGAAATTGGTATATAAACGCATTTGCCTTTCTTATCTTGGCTTCTAGGTGAACATTAACTTGTCTGAAAACTATAGGGTACCCTCTCTCACCAACAGAGTCTCTTACCCAAGTTTCATTAAGCTCAGTTTAAGATCTAGGAGGAGACGGTGGATATAGTGACCCTAATTTCATATTCATAATATAGATATATCACTGACTGACTCCCGCATTTTGATTTTGCTTACCCATCATGAGCCAGGGAATGGGACCGGAGCCGACAGAGAAGGCGGTAACGAAGACGATGAGGGAGGTGAGAGGCAGCCAGCTCAATTTGTCTGCTGCCCACACCTCATCCTGTTGCATCGCGTAGAAGAAGATATCAAGTGCCACTGGTGGAAGACACACAAGAGGTAAGTACACTACACTACACTACACACTAGCAAAAGGCGTAGAAACAACGTCAGTAGACTCGTGTTAGAGATATTCGACCAACTGGTATTAGGACGATAAAAACGGGATTAACGGGCTGGTGTAAAACGGAAGTGAAACGGAAAAATCACATCAAAAGGTACGACTGTACTCACATAGGCTAAATTGAGAGACAAGAAAGAGTGATGGAAGTGATGTACGGTGTTTCATGTAAGACATATGTGGACAAATGGCAATGGGTTCATCATCAATTAAATAAATTTTACTGTTAACCCTTGCAATAACAATAAGAAGCTTGTTATAGTGCATTTTTTGTAGTTGATTTTCTTGTACCAGAAAAAAGCCCTCAAACTTTATGTTTAAGTGAAATGATAACAATAAAAAATGAAACACCCATTTGAAAGGAAAATAGAGAAACAGCCATTTGCTTGAATTGTGATAAAGAATTATTTGCCGCATTTCTCACCTAATGATAAACACATTACAGCAGCAGAGACGACGAGGAGGATCTTTCTGCCAGCCTTATCCATGAGGACGCTGGCGATGACGGTAGCGGACACAAGCACAGCACCCACGATGATGGGACCAATATCCGTGGCCAGGGTGGAGCCAGACCCCTGTAGGCCCAACATACTGTACTGTGGCTGGAGGAGTTAAATAAACACCCTTCCATGTTGATTGTGGTGCACGTGAGAGTGGTGACTGCCAGCTCCTAGCTCTACTTGAAATAAATTTACCTACTTATCTAAGCAAAACTTTATGACTACAGTACTTGAATCTCAGCAGTGGTGAGATACCAAAGATATATCAGGGCTCGGCCTTGACGTGACACTATCAAGGAAAAATTTGCTATGGATGATAAAACACGGATCTAATTGCATGGTCATGATAAGAAGCTAATATTTAGGACACCCTGAACTTTGAAGTCTTGTAAGTCATCTACCAAAAAAAAAAAAAAAAAAAAAAAAAAAAAAAAAAAAAATCTAATAGAAAATGATAGGTTTCTAAATTAATTAAAGAGTTGTAAATTTGTGTGAACGAGAGAATGAGTTCGTCCATTGCTCTATCAGAGGAACAATTACGAAATTGGGTTATTGGTACAAAAATCTGCCAAGTGAGTTACTCTGGTACAACGTATCATAATCTATAATAAAATCCGCCGGGTTAACACAAATGAGACACTGAACAATGTAAACTGACCTTGAATATCTTGTTAAGATTGAAGAGCACAGCATTAATACCAGAGAGCTGCTGGAAGACCATGAGTGTGCAGGAGATGAGGAGGGGCTTGAGGATGTAGGGAGTCTTAAGGTCCCTCAGCGACGCCTTGTTCTGCTGGGCGTCATCCTGGGTCTTTCGCATCAGCTTCATCTCAGCCTCGATGTTGTAATTCTTCCCTAATGGATCGTCATTAAGTTTGTATGAATGACTGACATATCACTGTGCAACTCCCTCATAAATAGCTCAATATTTTGATCACACATTAATACATTCTGGCAGTTTACGTTGCTTCTCTTTTCAAAGATAAACGGAAAAAATATTAAAACGCTGATGGCCGCCGAGAAGATTGTTCAGGACACCAGAAACGCATTAATCCTTTGGTCCCTCTGTAGTGTTTTGCAAAGACTTATATTACCGGTATTTGAGAACTGGTGTCTGCTCACCTCTGAAGTACTGCAAGGCTTCTCTAGCTTCTCTCTCCTTCCCTTTAGAGAGAAGATAAATGGGCGATTCTTTGACGAAGAGGAGTAAGGTGAGATATATGATAGGAGGGATGGCACAGATGCCAGCTAGTCCCCGCCAGGTACTCATGACGATCCCGAACACGTAGGCAAATTCAATACCCCCGACTGCCATCAGCTGGAAGCATGAGCCTGTGGAGGACAAGGCCTTATAAATACTCCTGGAAGACAGCAGTCACTAGTGTAATGCAGATAATGTATTACTCAGTGATGTATCGGTGAATATACAGAGTGATGTGGTGTTCAGCTTACCCAGTGCACCTCTGATATCTGGCGAGGAGAACTCCCCTATGTAGGTGGGCACCGCTATACAGGTGACGCCAGTACACAGCCCGATAAGTAAGCGTCCTACTATCAGCATGACAAAGTTGTTGGCAAAACCTGGAAACAAAATTCGTATTTGACTTATCTTGTTTGATTATTGTAAGTACAGCTACAGTTTACACGTTAAACAGGTGTGCAGTAAAAAACACTGACTGTTAGAAGCCAAAGTAACCATTGATCTCTGAGGACACTAGAAGAGTAAAAAAGATTAATAAGAAGTTGCTGAATGGCATTACAAAGTGAAAGGACAGGTGTTTAGTCTTCGATATTTTGTTGTTAGGAATAATTGGTTATTTCTGATGTGACTTACCTACGAGTGCCCAGGACGCTAAGAAAGGCAACACCGACGCCAACATGGTGCCTCTTCTGCCCAGAGTGTTGATACACACCCCACCAAGGAGACCCCCGGTGAGGGCTCCCAGGTTTACAGTGGAGGAAAACCAGTTGTTTTGTTCCGTCGTGATAACAAGAGAAGAGTTGGTGGAGTTGTCCATGAGCTGGGGGCTGGCGGGTGACGTGTACCCCAAGCTGGTGCCTAAGCTTAGTGCTCCCATGGTGACTGTTTAATGACATCTTAGTTTTAATTTATGCAATATATTAAATATTTCATGTATACATTTACATATTTATAAATATCTACATGATACCTTAAAAACACAGGGGGTGGTTATACCTGAGATGGCAGCGAAGTACTGCATGAGATAAGAGGGTTTGTTCTTCACCTCCACCAACTCTGACGTGGATTTCCCAGTAAAGCCCATGACGCCTGTGTGTGTGTGAGAGAGGTCCTCGGTGCTCTTTATTCCTGTAGAGTTAAACCAGAAAATTTAGAGGTTTCGTCTTCAGGTTTGCTTGTAAAAGCTACAGAGACCAAACATTTTCTTGAATTATTTCGATATGATTGAATATCGCACCTTCTGAAACATTGTCAGATATAAACAATGACAAGCGTCTCAAATGTTAGTATTTGTACGACCAAGCAGTGGTTATCCTGTTGGCCATGTTGAACAAAAACTGAGTCTAGAATGAGGCACAGTGTGGGGGTTGTCAGGGGTAACTGGAGCCTTCATGATGTAAACAAGAGCGGGCCAAGTTTGTTTATCCTCCTCGTAGCGCGCGTCGCTCCTACCAGCTACTTGGTGGTATGTTGTGATGTGTGTTTGTCTGTGTGTTACACTACTGTTTTTTAACGATCGTCTCGAACATGTAAACGAAGTGCTTACTGCAAGATTGAGTTGAGATGGACGCGCTGTTGGTAAAAAGCTCAGTTTTGTGCACCTAAAGTTACTCATCTTTTTTTCAGATGACAGCCCTGCTTAGAATGTATATAAAAATCCTTTTTTTTTCAATTGATTCAAACAAAAGTGTGTCACTCCATTATAGAAGCATATGTATTACTTACACAGTAATGCTAGGTACATTACCAATAATAATCTGAATTTTACCGCCAGTAAGAACCATAATTTTGGGTGGTCTTGAGATAACTGTCAGTAACTCACTTCACTCGTACGCTCCACTGTTCTTGCATCATCATTCTTAACATGGTGGAGGTAGCGGCTCGTGAAAAAAAAAAATGGAGGGACTGCAAGCCTCACACCGAGTCCCCACCAAACAATAAGCATGGAAAGCAGAATAAAGTATTTGCCTCGTCACAACCACAGAGCCATTCACATTTCTGATAAACACTGATGTTAAACTGGCGTGTATATTCTTTGTTCCTGCTTGTACTGTTCTGAAATTCCATGCTTATTGTTTGGTGGGGACTCGGTGTGAGGCTTGCAGTCCCTCCATTTTTTTTTTCAAGAGCCGCCACTGCTTCGGACTCAGGTGCTTCCAGTGGTCTTGTCAAGGAACGATTATATATATGTAGGTAAATATCTATGGATGTCAAATACACCTTCCTGAACACCCACAATTACACACTGAAATTATCAAGTCTTGTTCAATTTCTTTTTTCTATCATTTACAAGATTTACTTTTGTCTCTCCTGAATAGTACTTCTTATTGACAAAACACCAATTTCACCGATATCCAGAGGCATTATACACTAACAGTACCTTACTTAGGTAAAGTCAGCTAACTTACTTTGTCCAAACATATTCACACGCCGAGGAACTATGAAAAGTTTATATATGTTAATGTACGAATCTCTCAAGAGTTCAAGTCTTGATTTTTCTCATTATTACACGTACAGTATTTAACGTAAGTGTTGTTTTGTTCGGGACTTGGAGGTGGAGAGCGTCGCTTTAACACAGGTCATCGGAATATCCAAGTAATTAAGAACAAGAAGAATGTGGCATTAGTTCACTACCATGCTTTTAAACTACATCTCACGACGGTGTTATCATTCTCTTGAAGCAAAATTAGGCAAAACACTGATGCTGCTTAAAGAACACATTACATGTCATAGTTTCGTGATATTCACCCTAGTATAACCTTTCAGAAAAAAAGGAATCGGTTCACTTTTACTGTAGGATAACTGACGTGATCTAGAGAGAGGACATGGATGAGGTTTGAGGGGTAAGTGGAGCACTCTCCAGCGTTCGACGTTAATAGACGACTGAGCCCCGTTGTTTAGCAAAGAGCACTCGTCCCGGCCTCCCACACTTACTGAATTCATCCCTCCCTCCTCCAACCAACCAGCCCTTCCTCCCTCCCTCCCTCCAAGCTTCCCTCCTTCCCCGTATTTTGTCCTCCCTTCAACCCTCCTCTACCATCCCAAAAAATTGATTATTTTGTAGCACGCAAACTGATAGCCTTGTAAATGAGCACACATCTTAAAAATGCAAGCACACGCACACACACACACACACACACCTCTCAGCCAGATAGCCATTCACCTCAGAGATTCAATCTGAATAAAAAAAAAACCATATCCACACAGTTTCTCTCCCATCCCCACACCCTCCCTCTCATCCATACACCCATCCTTCCATGCACACACCCTTTATCCCATCCACACACCTTACCTCCTATCCACACACCCTTCATCCCATCCACACACCCTTCATCCCATCCACACATCCTTCATCCTCGGGTTCAACACGCTACCCACAACAAGCCACGTGCTACGGCTACAATGACGAAGTAAATCTCAGAAGCGAAGTGATGTTTGGAGGTCCACAGCCAGTGGCGTAGCTAGAGTGTGTGCCGCCCGGGGCGGCCCTTGAGTTTGCCGCCCCCCCCGCCCGTGCCCCCACAAAAAATACATCAATTGTTGCTCCACGAGCAATCCTAATTTCCAACTCCTTCCATTGTGTGAAATTCCGAACGTGAGCTGCACTGGATTCGTGCTCGGATATTCTAGGATTCAGTTTCCACCATATGTTGAATCCATCCTCAGAATTAAACAGTTTGCAACAAAAGCAGTAAAGAGCTTCCTTGGAAGGGGAGTACACCATCCATGATCTCAACATTCTTTCACCATTTGGCAGAGTTTGAAAAAACCATTCGCGTGTTAGTTTTCTAGTTTGTCCTTTGGTTGACACACCTTCACGAATTACTTCACCAAAATCAGAATCTAGATTTTGAACCACAGACGCACCTTGACGTACCAGAAAGATCCGTGTGTCATTGCTAATCTTGCTTGGCCATAGGCCAACATCTTTTATGTCCACTCTGTCCACAGCTGGTCCCGGAATATTTTCTTCTTCATGTTCTTCATCACTTGAAGGAGTTGAAGTTGACGAATCGCTTGAAGTTGAACTTGAATCCCTTGAATTTGATAATGATTTGGTTTCTATACGACTGATGTATTTAAAGAGTGCCCCTTTATTCTTGTTTAATACTTCCTCTCTTGCCTTTCTCTTTTTTCTATACACAGCACCACTTTCTTTAGCTCGCTTCATCTGGGGACAGAGTGATAGAAGTATAAAACATTAATTTTTCGAGAAATAAATTCACACTGCATGTTTAAAATTAAAAGATAAAAAAAATTGAAAAAAATGACGAGAACTTTAGATAAAAGTGATGAAGCTAAATATCACAAGTCACAAATTCTACACTTTTAACAAATAACACATTAAGAAAAAAGCTCTGTGTAGCAAAAGAATGCTTTTGTGAATTTACAAAAAAAAATTTAAAATGTATTACGTACATTATTTATTATTTCGGCATTGCATAATATAAAAAAACGCTATTCCAAAAGTAATATGCATAGGAAAACATTTTTTCTTAAATAGCATTTCCTCAGCATATATATATATATCTGCACAATAACCACTGGAGAAAGGAAAGACAAGCAGCAAGTACTTTGGTTTAATACATCCTCTGCCTGAGGATGTATTAAACGAAAGTACTTGCTGCTTGTCTTTCCTTTCTCCAGTGGTTATTGTGCATCTATTCTTCATGATGTGAAGTTTCTGCATGCATATATATATATATATATATATATATATATATATATATATATATATATATATATATATATATATATATATATATATATATATATATATATATTATTTTAGGTTAGGTTAGGAATCCGTTACATAAAACAATTGTACTGCACCGTTATCTTTTATTGAGTATGATCTAAAATCACGGTATAATGACACTAGTATCAATGTAATACAATGGAAATGTAAAAAGTAGCAACTTAATCTAAAATTACAGACTCAGAGTACAGTGAAAATGGATGTCTGACATAAGCCCCCCCGACAAAAGCCACCCAGACAAAAGCCCCCTACTTTGATCGGGGTGGCTTTTGTCTGACAACCCTAACCCTAACCCAACCCAACCTAACTTAACCTAACCCTAACCTAACCAATAATTAACCACAGAGAAGAACAGTATATTTTACCCTCAACTATTTAATTATGTCCGTAACTTTTGAAAGCCCTTACTGTTGTCAGACAAAAGCCACCCCGATCAAAGTAGGGGGCTTTTGTCTGGGTGGCTTTTGTCGGGGGGGCTTTTGTTTGTACCCCATTGAGGATAGTGTCTTAGTATAAAATCGCAATGCTGTGAAACAAAATCTTAATATTTAATCTCAGTACCGCAGCAAAAGTCACATCAATATTTTTTAACCAATACTTTAATATTTCTTACCTTATAGTATTATGTCTTCCAACGAAGTAAATAACTGGATCGAAAACACAAGAGAACTTAAAAGTCGTCTAGCCTCCCCTCGTCTTGTCACGATGGAGACTTGTGCAGAACTGAAGTGAATTGCTTGTAACTGGTGGATTGGTCGGCTGTACATGAACTGATATGACCCGAGACTGCATGGTTTTGCAGCTACTGGAGACGTTAATCCTTCCCTTTGTATCGGCGGCAAGTTAATCCTCGTCGTGTCTGACCTAACACCTGACCCACACCACATGAGCTCACTGGCGTACTTGTTTGAAGTTGTTTCCTTAATCCTCAACAGGTTACAGGTTGTGTGTGGCGGGGGGGGGCGCATAGCAAGGGTGTACGTAGCTCATGACGTGGCCGTGATGATGTGGGTCAGGTGTTAGGTCAGACACGACAAGGATTAACTTGCCGCCGATACAAAGGGATGGATTAACGTCTCCAGTAGCTGCAGATATGGGTGATGAGCAGACCCAAAAGTGCCGCCCCCCCGGCCCCCTCTCTACATGCTAGTGGACCACAGCTCAAGTCTAGTGAGTCGGTCCACTGAGCGAGTTTCACAAATTTATTGACAAAGCTTGTAGTACAGTTTGCCTATTCTGAGTAATTCAGTCAGGTCTTGACACTGAGGGTAGTTTCAATTCTCACTGCCACGCAGGACAAAGGTTTATACACAAAGAAATATATCATATTCATTAACAGTATGTATATATATATATATATATATATATATATATATATATATATATATATATATATATATATATATATATATATATATATATATATATATATATATATATATATATATATATATATATGCAAGTAAATCACTGTAGGTGCGCGTGATCCAGGTATATGCTGATAACCACAAGGAAAGAAAACACGAAGTTCCTAAGCGCTTTCGTGTAATTCACATCTTCAGGGGTGAGTACATATTCCAATATGTATTCCACATGAGACAGATAAAGTTATATACTGTATATTAGAAAAAATAATAAAATAAATGTCTAATAGATTTAATAGTTATCTGTTAATACAAATACTTTTCCAATAGTAGTGCACGATGTAACAGCCTGAGCCTCGACTGATGTTAAATATTTACACTAAGTTGTACTACATAAAGTTGTTTTCTTTTATAGTCTGTTGGCTTGTGAAATACCTCACTGCCACACCCTATTATCTGACAGGCAAGGATAAAGCCCCGTCCACAAGATCAAGCAGTGCCCGGCGGGCTTTGCCCGTTTACCGAGCAAAGCCTGTGTGTTGTTGTACACACGGGGGTGGTTGGCGGCAGTCAAAGTCTTGCGCCGGTAGCTAGTAGGTGGTTGGCAGTGGCGGGTGCGGCAGAAATAATCGCCGGACAGTTAAAGCAAAGAGCATAGCGTTGTGTACTATTATAATTGCTGCTATGTGCAAAAAGAAGAACCAAATGCAGAAAAGAGAATGGTGCAAAGAGTGGTTAGGTCGAAGATAAGTATTGTGAAGTCATGCCACGATTTTACGTGAACTGCAAGATGGACAAGATGGACATGAGCAAGACTTCACCAATTACATGAGAATGGACCCAACACCTTTGACAAACTTCTAGGGAAAATGGAACCATATATATAAAAAAACAGGATACCAATATGAGGGAGAGTACATCTGCAGAGGCTCGTCTAGAGTCAATGCTCATATATCTTTCAACTGGGTGCACCTACACGTCACTTCAGTATGGAACGAGGATATCAAAACAAAGTTTGTCTCGCATACCTGCAACTTGTCAAGCCATGTATGAAGTACTCAAGGAAGATTACTTGCAGGTGAGATTTGTAATACATAAAAATTCATTGAATAATGTTAGAATTATGATATGCATAGACAGGAAGCTATGGGACTAGAGTGAGGAGAGCAGCAGGAACGAAGAACACACACGAATGTC